AGTGGTGTGCAGCTTTCAAAGATGTAGTAGTTCAGTATCTACCTTCAAAAAAAGGTGGTTAAAGTGCAGAATGCCCGAGTTATTTAATTACCTGAAGAGGACCTTGTTAAAGATGCATTTGGCTGAAAACTATCTGTAAAAACTAAATATCAATCTAATAATTGCCACATGGGATTGTCGTGTGGCTTTGTTCCTTCTAAGCATCCAAGATCTTAGCCTGTGTGAATAGTCTTTTAAACATCCCTAATCATTATGTTATGATTAAGTCATCCTTTTCCATGTGCTTCAAGATACATTAGCTTTAAGACTCTTTGACATGGAATTCTGTTCCAAAAAATTATTTTCCTTAGCTATTATCTGATAGTTGAATAGGTTGGTATTGCCTTTCATTTGGGGAAAACTGGAGAGGGAGGAATTTGCCGAAAAACCTTATCTTTAAGTCCCTTTAATTTATTTGTTTTCTCCTTCAGGGACAGCTGCAGTGTAACTGTTACTGTTATTTTACTGTGCTCTTGTGTTTTATATGATACTTTAGTAGCTGTTTAGATTAAATGATTGATACTAGTTGTTTAAATATGTATACTATTTAACTGGCAACTACAGTTATGAAAAGCAAACTAGTAAAAGTGACTGCTGTACCTGCTGTCAAGTTGCAGGCTTCAGATGGTTTGAGTAGGGCTAGCTAACTGCAGATCTGATAGAGATTCAAATTTGGAGTTCTGTTTGCTTAAAGTAGCCTTTTTTAAAAAGAAGTTATAAATGCATCTGCAGATACAAATGTAAAGGAAAAATCAAATGGCTTGTCTCATATGCAACTGTTCATTAAAAAATAAGGTTAAAAATCTGATTGCTGTCCTGTCCTGTGGTCACATAGGCATTGGGGCTTCTCCCCCTGCAAAAAGGTGGCAGGATCAATAGCCCAGCTGAAGTGCATCTACACCAATGCATGTAGCATGGGCAACAAACAGGAGGAGTTGGAAGCCACTGTGCCTTAGGAAAACTATTGAGATAGTTGCCATCATGGAAATGTGGTGGGATGACTCACACAACTGGAGTGCTGTAATGATGGCTATAAACTCTTCAGAAGGGGTAGGCAAGGAAGGAGAGGTGGTGGGGTAGCCCTGTACATTAGGGAGTGTTTTGTTTGTCTAGAGCTTGATGATGGTGATGATAGGATTGGGTTTATGGGTAAGAATCAGAGGGAAGGCCAACAAGGTAGGTATCATGATGGGAGTCTGTTGTAGACCACCCAACCAGGATGAAGATGAGACGAAATATTCTATAAACAGCTGGGAGAAGTCTCACAATCGCTAGGCCTTGTTTTTGTGGGGGACTTCAACTTACCAGATGTCTGCTGGAAATACAGTACAGCAGAGAGGAAACAGTCCAGGAGGTTCCTGGAGTGTATGGAAGATAACTTCCTGACACAGCTGGTGAGTGAGCCAGCTAGGGAAGGTGCTCCACTGGACCTGTTTGCAAACAGAGAAGGACTTGTGGGTCATGTGACGGTTGGAGGTTGTCTTGGGCGCAGAGATGGTAAAATGGTAAAGTTTTTGATTGATGAAGTAAGGAGGGCGGGTAGCAGAACTGCTACCTTGGACTTCTGGAGGTCAGTCTTTGGCCTGTTTAGGAACCTGGTTGACAGAGTCCCTTGGGAGGTAGTCCTGAAGGGCAAAGGAGTCCAGGAAGGCTGGACATTCTTCAAGAAGGAAATCTTAAAGGCACAGGAACAGGTCGTCCCCATGTGCTGAAAGATGAGCCAGCAAAGAAGACGACTGGCCTGGCTGAACAGAGAGCTTTGGCTGGAACTCAGGAGGAAAAAAAAGAATGTTTATGACCATTTGGAAGAATGGGCAGGCAACTGAGGAGGACTACAGGGATGTCATGAGGTCATGCAGGGAGAAAATTAGAAGGGCCAAAGCACAACTAGAACTTAATCTGGCTCCTGCTGTAAAAGACAATAAAAACGTTTCTATAAATACATTAGCAGTAAAATAAGGGCTAAGGAATATCTCCATCCTTTCTTGGATGTGGGGGGAAACATAGTGACAAAGGATGAGGAAAAAGCTGAGGTGCTTAAAGACTGAGGCAAAGAAGGCATTAAGAGTAAGATCAGTTGTTGGCTGGGTGCCCAGTCCCCTGAGCTGGAAGACAGGGATGGGGAACAGAATGAAGCCCCCATAATCCATGGGGAAATGGTTAGTGACCTGCTACACCACTTGGACACACACAAGTCTATGGCGCTGGATGGGATCCACTCAAGGGTGCTGAGGGAGCTGGTGGAAGTGCTCACCAAGCCACTTTCTATCATTTATCAATGGTCCTGGGTCACCAGGGAGGTCCCAGTTGACTGGAGGTTAGCAAATGTGATGCCCATCTGCAAGAAGGGTTGGAAGGAGGATCCATGGAACTCCAGGCCTGTCAGTCTGACCCTAGTGCTGGGGAAGGTTATGGAGCAGATCATCTTGAGTGCCATCATGTGGCACAGACAGGACAATCGGGTGATCAGGCCCAGTCACCATGGGTTTACAAAAGGCAGGTCCCGCTTGACTAACCTGATCTCTTTCTGTGAGAACGTGACCTGCTTAGTGGATGAGGGAAAGGCTGTGGATCTTGTCTACCTAGACTGTAGTAAAGCCTTTGCCATTGTTTCCCACAGCATTCTCCTGGAGAAACCGGCTGCTCATGGCTTGGACAGGCATACTCTTTGCTGGGTGGAAAAGTGGCTGGATGGCCAGGCCCAAAGAGTTGTGGTGAATGGAGCTGGCGGCCAGTCACAAGTGGTATCCCCCAGGGCTCAGTGTTGGGGCCAGTTGTTTAATAACCTTATCAGTGATCTGGATGGGGGGATCGAATGCACCCTCAGTAAGTTTGCAGACACCACCAAGTTGGGCAGCAGTGTTGATCTGCTCGAGGGTCGGAGGGCCCTGCAGAGGGATCTGGACAGGCTCAATCGATGGGTTGAGGCCAACTGTATGAGGTTCAACAAGGCCAAGTGCCAGGTCCTGCACTTCGGTCACAACAACCCCATGCAATGCTATAGGCTTGGGGAAGAGTGGCTGGAAAGCTGCCTGGTGGAAAAGGACCTGGGGGTGTTGGTCAACAGCCAGCTGAACATGAGCCAGCAGTGTGTCCAGGTGACCCAAGAAGGCCAACAGCATCCTGGCTTGTATCAGGAATAGTGTGGCCAGCAGGAGCAGGGAGGTGATTGTGCCCCTGTACTCGGCACTGGTGAGGCCGCACCTCGAACACTGTTCAGTTTTGGGCCACTCATACAAGAGGGACATTGAGGTGCTGGAGCGTGTCCAGAGAAGGGCAGCGAAGCTGGTGAAGGGTCTGGAGCACAGGCCTTATGAGGAGTGGCTGAGGGAACTGGGGTTGTTTAGCCTGGAGAAGAGGAGGCTGAGGGGAGACCTTATCGCTCTCTACAACTCCCTGAAAGGAGGTTGTAGTGAGGTGGGTGTTGGTCTCTTCTCCCAAGAAACAAGCGATAGGATGAGAGAAAATGGCCTCAGGCTGTGTCAGGGGAGGTTCAGATTGGATATTAGGAAAAATTTCTTTCATGGAAGGTGGTGTCAAGCATTGGAACAGGCTGCCCAGGGAAGTGGTTGAGTCCCCATCCCTGGAGGTATTTAAAGGATGTGTAGATGTGGTGCTTAAGGCCATGGTTTAGTGGTGGATTTGGCAGTGTTAGGCTTACGGTTGGACTTGATGATCTTAAAGGTCTTTTCCGAGCTGAACAATTGTATGATTCTATGATCCTTTCATCTGTCCCATTATTTCCTACCTCTAAAAGAATAACACCGAGGGAGTATTACCATAGCTTACCATTGTGTCTTATATGTGGGGCTCAAGTATATAAAGTTGTCATAGCACTCTGTGTTGCTATACAGCAAGAAAGAAAAGCTTTGTAGCCCAAGGATGTTTGTTTAAAAATTGACTTTGTATCTGGAAAGGAAGTGTATGTACAATGCTATCTTCTTTGGCTATACACAAAAAACAATGTTCACATAAAGTGTGTTGCTCTCTTTTTAAAGCAATCTTCCTCTCCATCCTGAGGTGGTGGTGGTGGGGAGTAAAAATAATGGCCCTTGAGCTTTGATGGAGCCTTAAGCCATTTATTTATAACTCCTTTACAGGAGGCTGGATATCAAGCTCTGTTCTTTGTCTGAGAAATCTAGATCCTTTAAGAATGCCTTTGTAGTAATATTTTCTATGTAAAATTAGTTAATTGAAAACATTCTGCATACAAACTTGTCTTACTGTGTAGACGCTACTGATGAAGCTCAGTCATAAATTCTGAAGCCCTTTACACACAAACTTTGTTTTATGCATGGCTTTTACATTGTTTTAGTAGTGAACCATCGCCAGTAAACTGTGATTTCAAAAACTGTCAGTCTGCAAAAGATGATTTTTGGATAGGAAAGATTTTTTCAATGGCTTTTGCACCTTAAGAAATAAAAAAAAAAACATTTTGCTACATTGATTCTTTAGAAAATGTAAAATACTAGTAAAGCCTGATTTGGTCAATGTTCATTCTGGGGGCCCTTAAGAGTTTGTATATTTAATTTAGATAAAGCTATTCCAGTCTCTTAGTTTAAGATGAAGTGTTTTGCTATTTATCCTTCAGATTGAAAATGGAAACACAATTGTCAGACTGTAATTTCCTCTCCACTGAAATGAGAATTGGATCAAAGCTTTTTCATTAAGGGTGAATTACCACTCTTAATTTTGCAGTTTATTCACATGGGGTAATGCTTAAACTCTTGAAACAGTTTGAAACTTAGCAATGTATCAGAAAACATTACAAATAGTTAGATGCAGGAGGTTTTATTTAGAAAGATCAGCTGTTCAGGAATTTCTTCGAGATACCCAGCAAAACCCTGCCCTTTTAAAGACGTTGTTAAATGCTCATATAGGGAAACTGAAAACTGTATGCCATTTCCTTGAGGCGTATGCTCTTTCACACAGTTAAAACTTTTTTTTCTGATTGATTTTAGTACTCATCTGAGAAGCTGAACAAAAGTGGCAGCTTGTTCCCTTTCGAAATCAACGGTAAGTTCTTCAGAAACCTTAGCTGTGCTTTACTGAGGTAATTGGTATAGCAAGCAGCCTTTCTTTTGTAAATAAGGTGAGGGGGATGGAGCATGCTGTTGTAGAGCCTGCTGGTTTAAGCTGGTCTTTCAACAATACTGGGAATAGCTGGTTGTTAGTTTTGTACTTGTGACCTGCTTTGCATAGTAAAAGCCCTTGTAACACACTTTTTTTGGTTCAATATCTGCTCTGGTGCACAGAAGCACAGCAATGCTGTTTTTCATGCTAAACATCTCTTCAGGTTCCTCAGCTAGCAAAAAGCTCTTGCATCTTTACGCACCTTACATGCTTTGCCACACAGAATATCCAGCATGATGGAAACCATAAGCTGAAGTCCAGTGTCTTCATAAAAGTGTTATTTGCTTTTCCCCCATTGGTTCTATTAGAATAGGAATAAGCTGTATCTAGCAAAAATAAAAATGCCACTTAGTGATCTGTAAACTTTGTACTGCTTTATTAATCGATGGACTTGAAATTTTGCATGTTCTGTTGCGTCTTTAAGCGTGGAGGATTTTTATTTGCTCAGTGGCATTCCCCATAAAACGTGAATCTTGGTTTGTGTGAGGTTTCAAAGGGAAATGGTATTTTATCTTAAATACCATTGCCATGTAAAAAATTAAAACACATGTGCAACTCTTGACTTTTTTTAGTAAACTTTAAACCAACCTCCCAGCCTGGGAGAAAGCTTCCTAAGGTTTTTTAAAAATTGGGCCAGTCCAAGCTAGCAAACTGTCCTACAGTAGATGCTAGGAGTTTCAAACATATCTGGATCCCATTGTGATGGCTGTTTTACTTGCATTGAATTATGGATGGTCCCTGCCTTGAAGAGCTTACATGCTTAAGGCAAAGCACAGTATGTGGTTGTACCCATCTGAAAGAATGGAGGAGGAAGGACAGAGGAATTCTAATAAAACATGTTGTTTGAATAGGCCAGCTGTCTGCACAGTTAAATGATTTTGAGACAATAGGGTGTTCTTTAAATAAGATCCAAATAAACAGGATAATCCATGACATTCTTTGGGCATGGAACATGTACAACTATTTGGGTTTGCAACTTTTAAAGCTACTCAGCAAATCTTTTATCTGTTGATTACTCTAAAACTCAGTTTAGACAGCCAACTATAAGAATATACAAGTATTTAATGTTTAGGCTATATCTAGGTTCTTAAAATAGGCATAGGGGAAGAACTTGGTGTGTTAAATATTCTTTCTTTAAAGCTGGGATAAGTGAAACTTACTTGGCTAATTGGTTTAAATTAGCAAATTTCCTAACCAAGCATGAAGCACTGTTAACTGGCCAACAGTTTTGGTGCTTTTCAATTTGCAAATCCAAAGTCTGCTGTAGTTCTTCTTACACTTCATTGTATAATGTGGAGGAACAGCTGTAAAATGTGCAGAATGTTCTCAAAGAAATGCTTTACAAAAGAGTGAGAGGCTTCACTGGCAGACTGCTTTTAACCCAGCATTGCCACTTCAGATGAGAAGTTGTGCGCTATGGGTTATGTCTGTATTCACAGTAGAACTTGCAGGAGGTTCTTAAGGGATTCTCACTTTATTTTATGCATTGAATTAAGGGGTGGTTTTTTTTCCCTTCCACTTTGAATATGAGCAAAAAAAAAACCCCAATCTGCAGTTTGATCTAACTTTATACTGTTTCCAATTTAAAGTAAAACTTTTCACACCACAGAATGTGAATGCTCATCTCTTTGAAACTTTTCTTTAGTAAGGTATTCCTAATAGAAAAGCATAACAGCCAAATGAAGGACAGCAGTCTATGAATAGATTAGCCTGCTCTTTTATTAAAAAAAAAAAATCCCTGGTGTGTTCTCATATTACTCATTAATCCATTTTGGTTGTACTTAGGTTGTTCACTGTTACAGGTTTTAATTGTGGTATATCCTGTGCACTAGGAAGCAGGTAAGGAAGCTGTCCCTGTTGCTTGCTAAGAAACACAGTGCTGTAATCTTTCAGCATACAGGAAGAAGCATTGACAAGGTACATAAACACTGGAATGCCTGGATTGGCTCCTGAAATAATTTGGTCTTCATGTTTTTGGAATTTTCTGCCTTTTTTTTAAATGAATATGTAGCTATAGTGTGAAATTTTGATTAAGAGCTGGCTCATCCTTCTAAGCTTGAGTTCGATTCACAGTTTTACATTAGACTAGCTTTAAAACAAATAGTCTTTTTCCTTTTGCATCTTTCACCTGTATCTTTCTTTTGTTTTCAGAAGAGAGTCCTTGGAAAGCTTTAAATGGGGGTTGCCCAATCCAGACTGACACAACAAGGAATTCAGCTTACCCTTTTCCAGTGTGCCCATTCAGCACCGGCACTGCCAGTAATGGTAGTCTGCAGTGGCAGGAGGAATCTTCCCGTACGTCTATGGTGTCAGGATGGATAAGTGAATTAAACCTTAACGAAAACTCGGGTCAACCCTTGGCACCACCAACGAAACGCCATTGTAGGTCCCTCTCTGAGCCAGATGAGCTGGCTCGTTGTCGGTCACCATGGAAGCCTGGCAATTCAAAGGTTTGGACTCCTGTGTCAAAGAGACGGTGTAATAGTGGTGGTAGCGCTACCTTGCAACGCTGCAACAGTCATGGAAGTGCAACCTTACAGAGAAGCACAAGTATCAGTCTGCCACAAAACATACTGTCACTAAATAATGTCTTCACTATCACCAGCTTCAACACATCACCAGTACCCAGACCTTCCTCTGCCAGCAGTGGGTTTGTGGACAGTAGCGAGGGCAGCACAAGCTCGAGTACCCGCTGGAATTCTGGAGGCCCTTGTGACTTTAACCCAAGGCGCCGCCTCTCCCTCTCCCAGGAGCACATCACCGAGACAGGAAATCTCTTGCCTTCAGCCAACAGCACTCCCACCTCCACACCCGAGCTCAGCCGGCGTCAGGGCTTGTTGAGATGCCGCTCTCAGCCTTGCGTTCTGAATGAAAAGAAAAGCCGGCTAAAGCGCAGACGGGAGGAGGACGTACGATGGAACAGACCATCGTTAGACTTTTTTAAAATGACACGGGTGAGATTTTACTTTCCTCAGTGTGTGAAGGGAACTCTTGCAGAAAGGCTATTTCTAGATAAACTGAACTAATTTGTAGCTGTTAGCTTTGCTTGTGTTCTTGTACTGATATGTACCACCTTCAGCATGCTTCTTATAGCACTAGCAAGTATACCCTACAGCAACTTACTTGCTTTTTGCTCCTAAAGCCAAGTCTACTTGATACAGAGTACAAAGAGCTATGAAAAGATGCTTGAAGCCGAGGCCAAAGAAAAATGGCTTGTTTTTAAAATGCAAGGAAGCCATGAGAACAGTGTGCAAAGATTTCTAAGTCATCCTTGTGCAAATCTGTTTGAGCCTCGCCTTTACAGTTTTGAGTAATTCCATAAAGCTAAATAAGAGCAAGCAAACCCCTATATAAATGAATTAACTAATTAAAATGCTAATAAGCAGTCAGAAATAGTGTTCTAATACAGTAACTGTAGATGTTCCAGCTCAATGGAGAGGCGTCTTACTCCAGTTACTCAGAATTCTACTTCCCTCCTCATGTGAGAGTAAAGGTGCTGATTTAAAAACTAGTAAACTTCAGTTCATGCCTCTACTTTGCATGTAATACAAATGCATGTACACAACTCATTTTTCAAAGCTTCTGTGTCTGCAGAGGCAACTTGCTACAGTTTAAAACTCAAGATGCTCATTTAGTTTCTGTAGGTGTGAAATTGAGTCTTATGTTATGGTCAGAGAACACTTTATGCTTGTGAGAATATAACCCTACTGCCTTCAGTAGATACCAGACTTGGGAGATTTGTGTGAGTAGATCTGTTAAGAGTAGTGGGGAGGAGGCAGTTTGCAGAAGTAGTAATAAAAACGTAAGGAAAGGAAATAGTTCTGCACTGGTGTCCCTGCATTTGATGCACTGTGCAAAAGAAAAGCTGAACAGAATGGTATGCTAGCTAAAATGTCCAATCTGTGGTACCTTGGTATGAGTAGGCTTTACATAGAAATGCGTGGGGAAAAATACTAGTAAGGTATTGGAACTGAAGTATCTGCTGTGGGGTATTCAGTGAGTTAACTAGATTACGTGCACTTAGGTAAAAGTCATTATGATGGCATCTGTCCTTCTCTTACACCTTTGTGAGACAACTTACTTACAGCTTAAAGGATTTTCTTCTTTAAAAATACGGCTTTTTTGATGAAGCTGTGGAGTAGGTAATTGACAAGCCATACAGAATGATCTGTTTCCTTATTGACAAGGTTGGTAACCAGTTCTGGTCTAGATATGACTAGACACTGTTCTGAGTTTTGGTTAAGATGCAAGTTTACTAGTTAGCTAATCAGATCTTACCTGTTTTGCTGTGTTAATCACTGCTGAGATTAGTTTGCTCATCTACTCCAGAAATATTAGTGGATTTGCTTTTCAGCTGCCTGTGTGGTCTAATGCAGGTTTCTTTACTTAAACTGAACGTAACACTTAAAACCTGCTCCTTTTTTGGCTAGACTTCCTGTTTGCATTCTTCAGCTGTAGAGGTGAGATGCAGTATTTCAGACTGACAGAATAGTTTCAGTTGCTCAGCTTTTATACCTTCTAGATAATCCATATAATAGTGTGTATGGAGAAAACTTGATATAGACCATGTCTATAGAAAGGTTTTTGGCTGTTTAGATTTGCTGCTGAACTGAAGAGTATGAGACTAGTATTCAGCCAGTATGATCACTTTTTCCTGTAAGACCTATTTTGAAATGATGTTTTTGCGATAAGCCGAGTAGTTCATGCAACGAAGTTCATTCTACAGTGTCAAGGCCTGATGGCTTTTTTTGTAGCTGTTTCAGTAGAACCTTCCTATAAAGGTACTACTGTGTATTTAATCAAAGGCACAAAGTATAGTTTGGAAATACATCAGTTTCCAAACATGCTAAACATTAATGAAAACATCTGTTTAAAAACTAGGCAAGTACTGAAAACATTTGAAGTAAAAATTGAATTAAGCTTTCAAGAAATGTTGGGGTCTTTTTTTTTTTTTTGATGACAGCTTGCTTACCCAATTACTTTGTTAGAAGTCTTGTATTTCTTCATAGCCTACCTTCTCCCCATGCCCCAAATCCTGGCAGATGTATATGCTTTGAAACTTATATTGTGGCCTTAAACATTTCTGTTTAAACTTAAACAAAATTACTGCTGTGCAAAACATTATAAGTTAATAATACAGAAGACTTATTTTGAAGTGTATACACGGATATGTGGATGTGTCCTATATCTGCATATAGCTCAGGTGAAGATCAGGACTACGATAAGGGGAAGTTCAGTAATACCTCTCTTTCAAGTATCTTGATGTCTCCTTATTGTTTCCAAAAATACTTTTTCTGTGATTTCAAATTCACTTCTAAGTCAGTTTATGAAAGACCTATGTTGAAAACAAGTGCTATTAAGGAATTTTTTTTAAGGATAAGCTTTGCTGCAAATACTTTCATGTCCTTAAATCTTCCTAAAAAGCTAAACTTGACAAATATTGCTCAAAACCAGGTCAGTAATTAGATAATTAGTATTGATTGTGAAGAACTTAAGTCATAGTTGACCAATGTTGTGATAGATCTGAAGGTGCTGGGCAGGGGGAGTTCTTACTTTATATTGCAGTGGTATATTGGAGCTACAACTGCGTGAAGAAGGGAGTTATGGGTCTGTGGCCATTTCTGCCAGTGCTCTGGAGTCCTGAGAGGTTGGCATTGGAACACCTGCCAAAGTTGCTCAAGGTTTCTCATCTAGGAATTCTCTGAAATCAGTATTTATCAGAACTGATTTATTTACTTTAACCTGAAGCAAGTGCTGTTGTATCTGAATTAAGATCTTGAATAGCTGTGTTTGGGTGAAGCTTTAGAGGGAGAAGGGAGATGAAAGGTGGTTTTTGTTTGGCTTTTTTTTTGCACTGGTGAACTGGTTTTTGCTAGTCGGGTTCTAGAAAATGTACCTGGTGGTTGCTGCTATTATAAAATATTCTAATTTGTGCCTTTATTTAAAAGAAGGAAAGAAATCAGGCAGCTTTTAACACCTTGAATTGTTTCTGTATACTTTGATTTTATTTTCTTCCGCAGACCTTCACGCTTTACTTCACTGTACTCTTCTTGTTTAGATTTTATGCCCTCTTGGAAAAGAACATGCCATATCTTCAATTCTCATGGAAAATGCTACATTAATATTCAGTAAAATGAGTAATTCACGTATGTAGAAATAGATTGAAATGATCAGGCAGGCTGCTGTACACCACTGTTTAGCTCTCATATAGCACTAAATTCTGGAAGGATCTTTTTCTGGACTTGAAGCTGAAAATACAAACTTGTGAAACTTAAGACCCAGAACATGAAGACAGCTGTAAAAACAAGTGAAAAAGATTTTAGGAATAGATAACAAATATGATAGCTGTTTTCAGCCCCTAAGGACTCAAAATTTTCTCCATTCAGTTATACATAACAGCAAGAATAGCTGTATGAGTTGTAGAACAGCAGAACACAGTATCTATACCTACTTAATATTTGTTCACAATCACCCAAATAAGAAGCTGGTTCCAGTGAAGAGTGTTGGCCTTCCTTCACTGCAGCAGGAAACCCTGGTATTTCAAGATGACTGTGCATGGCAAAGAGTCTTTGGACTTGTGCTCTTTTGCAGCTAATAGCCTCTATTACAGAGGCTGCCACAGAGTAGGTAAAGGTGGCATTTAGACTGGCAACTGCAGTAGGAGTTTAGAAGTGTTTCTTTGCTGAAGAGTTCTTCCACCCTAGAAAACTACTGAGCTTTTTCAGATGTTCTGCTTCATGAGTTACATCAGTCGATCCTGAGGTGTGACAAGTAAAGAACAGCCAAGAGGTTGCACGTTTTTCAGTGTGTAAGCAAGTTTCATTGTGACAGTAAGATTTAATTCTGTTTCAGATCAAACAACATGCTGTAGTTTGAAGTCTTTCTGGTGTTTAACGTTCTTGTGCTACTCTTCCCTCAATGCTGTGACATGAATTGCAAAAAAAAAAAAAAAAAATCTTGGTATCATGCTTAAAAAAAACCCCCACAAACCCACCTTCTCTAATATGTTCTCTGAAGTGGTCTTTGGTCTGTTTAAATAGTTAATACAAAATAACTGGCTTTATCCAAGTAAGTAGTAGTTTCAACTATTCAGTGCTGTGGCATCTCATGCATTAACTTCAGGCTAGGTGAGAAAGCAATTAAAAGTTTCAATGGTCTCTAAACAGTGAAGGAACTCAGGATCTGAAGTTGTGATTTCCTAGCACAGGGTGCTTCTGCCTTCTTAGAAATGCTTTAAGGCCACCTGGATTTTATACTAGTGGATTTTCTTGGTACTGAGAGAGATCCTAAGTGCCACAGCAGGTCAGGCCACACTCTGTAGCCTGGCACCCTGCCTGATGGAGAGCAGCTGCTTTGAGGCATGCAGGAACAATGAATGTGCAATGTGGTACTTCCTCCAGTGTGCATCCTGGGGGCTTCAAAGTGTGCATCAGTGGTTCAAACTCTGATAAGTACCAATAGATCTGTTTTCTGATGATAATCTGGGTTTTTTTAACCCTTTATCTTGGACCTCCACAATATTCCACAACAGTTTAACTTCTGTAAACTCTGTTCATCATCACCTTCTCAAAACACCTGAATGCTTGATTCATTTTCTTTCTTGGAGTTTAAGGTCTTGAACCAGCAAAACAGTTGGATAACTTCAATCCTTAAAGTAAGTTGAGCTTAAATTCTATCTGCTTTGTGATTATTGATTTTATGCTTCAGGTCACAGCGACGTAGTGGTTTTGTGGATCTACATAGCAAGGAGGGCTTGTCACAGAAGATAGCATCTGAGTCGTAAAGACTTGTTAACTCTGGCCAAAACAGCAAGACTAGTATCACTTATGTGCGAGGATAAGCAGAAGGACTAGTTGATAGTGATTTCTACAGCTGTTTAAAAAGGCACACAAAGTAGGGATGAACAGTGGGGGTGCATAAGCTTCCATGATGGGTGTGATGAGGAAGCAGTATTTTATGAAGGGCAGAACATGAGTGCTGCTGCTGAATGTAGATCAGATGACTGCTACTTTTCCTGCAGACACTTTCTTAGTAACTCCTGATCTCTCTTCAGGAATATCTGCATCCACTTCCTTGAATTTTACTTTGTGTGGCCCAGTTTGCAGAAGCCAATGTGAATAGATACAAGAGTGAGATGTGAGAGTAATTATTTCATGTAAGTATCTAAACCAGGGTAACAAACTTGTGGTTGCTATCTGAGAACTATTAGGCATTCCTTTTGTTTTGTTGCTCTTTGAGGTCACTGTAATGCTCAGTATGCAGACAGGCAGATGACTTAGCCATACTGTGGCCTTACTAAGTTCAAGCAAAATAAGTTCTGAAGCATTCTCCTTGATTATTTGAATTCTTGGTGTCTAGAAAATTTCCAGGTACTCCCTGTTAGGCATAGTTACAGTAGATTTGTTCACTTTGATTATGCTACACAAAGTAGATCAATGTTCCCGTGCTGCACAAACAGTGTCACTGCTGTAAGTAGAACTCAAGCATGGATGTAGAAAAGACAGTGTTGTACACAAGTAGTGTGGTGAAGTAGCTGCTTACTTGTGTTAGGCTTTCTCCCAGCCTGCTGTTTTAGCATGTGCAAGATGATAAAGTGATATCAAGAGTCCCTTACAATGCTAGCAGGGTAACCTGTGAGTCAAGCCTGGACTGGCTAAAGTAGGTTAAGTAATGGCTCGTGAAGTTCATTGAGATTGTGTTCTCTAAATAGTAAGCACGTTGCTTTAAATAGTTCGAGATGCTTATGTAAAGCTTGTCTCTTATAGCCTCCTGTCAAAATGGGAACAAACAGGTTATTTGGGGTAGATGTATTTTCTGCTTGTGGATACAGTTAAGTCAGCAAAGGCTGTTCTGCCTAGTACAGTACACTTGTGTAGT